TAAAGACTCGCAGATGTTCTCAGCGCAGTTTTTAAGAAAACAGGTCGGAATATGATCAGGTTCAGGCCTAAATGACGCTTTTAGGGTTTTTAAATTGTGTAAAACTTCATCGGAAGATATTACTGGAATATAAGCAGAGTAAATTGGACAAAGTAGTTATGGATGGCCTCCACTTATTGGGAAGTCTACATAATAATTGGACCTAAAGAACTGGACAAACATGTTGGCAATGAGTTGGCTGTCCCTAGTAGGGAAATTAATTTTTTGGCTTTTTACGATGCCGAGATTTTCACGATGTCATTATCACAATCCCGGTATTAGTCGCGGGATTTAGATATTCATTACTTTTCAACAACGTAAATCGAAAAAATCGCTTCTAAATTGTTTGAGAAGCTCTCCTACTTTACTTTTGTTATTTATGGCCTTATTACAATTATATTCAGCAATTTTTATTGAGCTTGAGGCCGTTTTTAATGAAAAACTATTGTGGAAAAGCAAAAATAATTTGAAAATTTGGTAGAAGTGATAGCTATTTCGGAAATTTCATTTCATCATCAGACTTTTTTCAGTGGGATTCGATCCAACGACCTCAGCTGACTCATCCTACCATGAAATAAATAATAAGAAAATGGGTTTGAAACCTACGTTTTTATTTAAACTGGCCTTTTTATTTTTTCTCTCTGACGTCAGGATTTATTTTAAAGGACTTTGTAATTTCAAAGATATGATTAATTCCAAAAACTATTTAAAAAATGCAATGCATTGTAGAATAAAAATATGGGTACCAAAAGGAAGAAAATTTCTTTAGAATTTAAAAAAATTTAAATTTTTTGGATTCACAAGGATGAATAGGTAATTTTTTAAGCCGATAAAGTTAGAAGGACGAAATTCAAGGGTGTTATCGAGTTTATATAAGTCCTTAACGTATAAATTTTTCAAAAACAAATATTGCGAAATTTCAAGGAAAAAATTTTAAAGGGTCATTTTCAATACTTACCAGTCCATATGCACAAAAAGATTGAATCTGATTATATTCTACACAATTTCTTCTTTAACTTGATGCCCATACTTCTTCTCTAAGCACATTTCGACGAATTTTTTAAATCATTTTGGAATTACTTACGTCAGGGTGAAAACTAAAAACGCAATTTTGCAATATTTGGCCCATGGTTTCACGAATATATTGATTTTTGTGTGTAAAATCGCATGGTGTTGCATGTATAATGAACTAGACATTTATGAAAAAATATTGATTATTGAATAAAAAAAATAAATACAACCAATACTGGTCAAGAAAAATAGTTTGTATTATTGCTATCAGTGCAAATTACAAATAACGAAAATCACGGAATTATTTGTTAAAAAGCGCGGGATTTTCGTGACCTAAAAAAGCCGGAATCCCGGGATTTGAATTTGCGAAACCATAAAATGATTTAGGATTGTTAATTAAATTATTTTAAGTTTACATAAATATGCAAAGTAGCTATGCCGCAAAACTGAGTACCTTACCTAATCACTGTGTAAGCCCGTTATTTTATACAGTTTAAAAGAATGTGACTTTTTATTTTTCAATTTTTAAAGCTCTTTAGTGAACCATAAATGTGTTGGTTCTTCATGAACAATATTACGTTTTCGTATATGCTTTCGAAACAAATTGAAAACAGTATCATTAAAGTGCTCAACGCTACGCTACACGTCATCCTAGATATTGGCCAAGATAACTTTGAAAGTTCTCTGTTAATTGTTCTAAAATTCGATTTCGAAAAAACATATCTACTACTTGAACTATAAATTATAAATCTAATTATTCTGTATTTCATTTATGATTTCGTAGCATAACTCAAGAGCGGGATGGTATGCATCCTCTGGCAAAACTAGAGGATCACACCAGATAATAGAGGACTTAGGAACGTGAACAAGATCCAAAACCTTTCCGAACTTATTTGGACATGTTTTTATTTGTTTTAGGCAAAGTTCAGCCATTTCCTCCAGAAATACATTGTAACTATTAGGGATGGGTAAATTTTATATTCGAAGCTTCGAGGTTCGAATTTTAATCGTATTTTAGTTCCAAAATGGCGAATTTTCGAAATCGAACTAGAATTCGGACACACTCGAATTTTTCTTATTTTCAAAAAAGCAACTCTGCAAAATGAAAAAACAGAAAAAAATGTTACAACTTGTCAATATGTGGTACGGCTATAATTTTTTCGGCCACTGAATATTTTTCAAAATTTCATTAATATATTTGTGGTAATCTCTCAAATTCGCAAACCTCGTAAGTTTGCGAGCCTTGTAAAAGAACTATGGGTATTCATATAAATGCGTAAATGCCTCGTTACCGCGTAAACCTCGTTTTCCACTGATTTTTCATACATCAATCAAGTAAGCTTACGAGGTTTACGCTAGTCCGAGGCATTTACACGTTTATATGAATTTCCCTACTGTCAAAATTTGTATAGAGCTCAGTTTACGCCTACCTCGTTAAATTACGAGGCAAATTTGATGCGTAAAGGCCTTTGCGCAGCTCTCAAGAATAGCAAAAACTCCATATAAAATAACGTACAAGGAATGGCTAAGAAATTTTCTTGAGTCAAATTTCCTTAAGGCAGTACGCTGTTCTTAAGGCATTTGCTACGCTTTCTACTCGGTTTTCTAAAGTTTTTTGTGAAAAAAGAGAACAAGGCAACCCAGGTTTGCAACAGAAACATATGCCCGTACCATTATTTCTTGAAGAAAGAGTGAGGCAACCGGCTGTGAAGTATCAAAAATGTCAAAATTCCTTGGACACGCACACGAAATAATGGCAATTTTTTCTTGACCCTTTTTCTTGAGAGCTACATACAGGGCATAAACGGCCTCGTAAATTTCATTGTTGCCGAGGGGCGGAAATTTTATACTAAAATGTATGATAAAATATTGAAAAAAATGAAAAAATAACAATAACTGAATAAAATAAATGAATTTTATCCACTAACTGTACTAACTTAGGTTTTCTGCTAATTTTCGGCGTTTTCAACTATTAGCTTAAACTTAACATTTTTTTATGTAAACTAACGGTTAAAATGGGTTTAGGGGTGCGGGCTAATTATATACATATTTTTTATCAGTTCAAAAACCTTTTGGTTAACACGGTTAACACGTCTTGTGAATCCCCTATATATTTTAGTTTGCATTCGAGCTGGGGGGTTAATATGAAAAAAACTACGAAACAAAAAATGTATTCACAAACTGCCCTTAGCTCAATGTTTTATTTTGGAAGTACGCGGGAATCGGGGAATAAATGAAGCCCATTTAAGAAATAGTAGCAGACTTCCTACTTTTTTGTTACCTTATAGAATATATACTACAACAGAAAATGAAAGAACTTTTATGCAATGTATTAAATAATTTAACCTTTGCACTTATTTTGACTTACCCGATTAATCTAATTCTTCAACGATTTATAAAGTGAGACGATTTTTATGTTAAAGTTAGATTTGTGTTACGAGAATTTTTTATATTTTTAAAACTAGTTTAGCAAATCATAAAGCACAATACATACTAGCCGAACCTTTAGCTAAATACATATATATATTTTTAGAAGCTTTTATTTACTTGCACCTTTGTTAGCAAATCTTGAAATCCATTTTAACCAACTTCCCGATCAGATAGTGACTTGAAACTGAAAGTTGAACTAATCCGCTAGGTGGCGCAGGAGTCGAGATATTTGAAAAATCCCGATTTGTTTCATATTTAGAACCTTGTATTACTTAAGTGGAAAGAAATAACTCCAAAGGAATTTAGCCGTTGGCTGGTCGATTTTTATATATATATATTTTTTTTTTAATTACTTGTTTCCAACTGTTTCTGCAGCTTTTGTTGCTGTTGAATCGTAATCATGAGAAGTATTGAAAATTTCCTCATTATCCGCATGCATAAAGTACGCAAGAAATATTTTTCAGTTGCTATTATCAGTGGAAATTTTCATATTGTATTTTTTTACTTCCTTTAGACACATATTGCTGAGACATCAACAGTAACCATTAATTAAAAAAAAATAATCCGCAGCTCAAAATGCTCCAAATTAGAGGATATGCGCGTCGTTACATGTATGTACATATGTACCTACTTTTATATTTATTAGTCCTAGATATTTCCATGCATATGCTAAAAAATATATCTAGCTATTAAAAAATATAAAACTTGTACGTATATACATATGTATGTACATACGTATTTATTTTTCAATATTTTTACATCCCCAGCGGACCAAATGCTCGCAAATGATAGCGCATGCGATTGAAAGGCGAGATTTAACCCGGCAAAACTCTCGCAAATGAATCGGGAAACGATAGCAATATGATTAATATGTCGTTCAGTTTGTGGCAGTGAAACTTTCATTTACGATAGTTGGAAGAAATAACGTTAGTGAGCATTTGGCGATATATTTTGCGAGGTTGTTTTGATATTTCTAGCGACAAGGATAAAATACTAAATGTGATACGTTATCGATTCAAAATAGAATATAAAAAAAATATTTTTTCCGAGTCGGCATTAATATCAAATAAGTATAGCAAAAGATATCGCAAACGGTTCGCAAGAAATAAGGGTTGAAAGACTTTTATTTGTTTCATTCCCATTTTATTCCCCATTAATAAATATTTTTTATTATTATTTAATGTTTTTTATTGTTTATATATATTGTTTAAACTAAAATTCGGGCATAGAAGAAATTAAAAACTGAAATTTCACATACATAACTTAAAAGTATTACGCACTTCTTTGGCAGCTTACAGGAATATATTTTTTGAGTATAAATAAATTAAAGATTATGAAAACAAGGCACTCTTTGGCCATTAAACATCTAACTACAGTACGTATAAATAGCGATGCTCCTCTGCAATAACGACACAATTCAAAATTCAAAAAACCGTTACTATTGTTAAGTGGCTCTTGTCTCTAATCCTTGTCTAATCCATTTCCAGCCCTTATAAAGTAAGCAGTAAGGATTACTAAAGTAATTACTAAAGATTATACATAGATCCGACAAGGATTAGAGACATGAGTCACTTAACATTAGTAAGGGTTTTTATTTTTTGAATTTTGAATTGTGTCGTTAATCCACAGGACCATCAATATGTTAATAACTAATTCACCAAGAACATTATATTTTAGGTATTTTTGAATTACATTTTTCTAATCTTGCCAGTCTTTCCTGCGCGTATTGAAAAAACTTCTGTGTAACGCGGTCAAAGTCACTGTCTTCAAGTGCGAACTTTTGCTTGAATGCATCTGTACACAACATAAAATAACATTACATATTTGTAAGCATACAAATTATAAAAGTAAAACCCACTACGTATTGCCAATGTGATTCGAAGGCCTCTAACACACTTTTTCGTATCTGTTCCACGCCAAGAACATTGTCTTGCTACGTCATCCGATATCAATAGGCGCCATGAGCTCCTGATAAATTTATCATACGTTTTTTCAGAATTGGCGACTAATTCCATGACCTTGAGAAAAATGTGAAATTTTTTAGCAGATACGATTTAATTTCGAAACGTTTTCTATAAACGTCAATCTGGCCGTGTTGACTGGGCTACTTACCAAATTTTTAAAGGACTGCTCTTCTTTGATACTTTCTTCAAATGCTTCGAAGGCCTCAAATGTAACTAATGGAGACATTGCAACGTCAATTTTGGCTTATGTGCCTCGCCGCAAACTCGTGCTTTTATAGATGAAACTTCACTCCTTAAAGAAATTAACTCAGCACCATGACGATCAATTTTGGTTAGCAACTGATCAATTTTATCAGTTGTTGCCCGCTGGGTTTCCATAATTTTCTTTATAAGGTTCAATATGTCTGTAAATGTAATAAATAAATCTTGTAAGTCGGCATTAAATAAGAATCTGTTTTATTGCACTACCGGAGTTATTGCAGTGGCTGCTTGGAGCACTATTAGATATATCTGAAATAGATTATAAGTGTAATTAATGGAATATATACACATACATATGTTGTTTATTGGTTGTTATATATCGTCAATGCCTTTGCAAAACCACGACGGTTTATATTATGTTTATATTTTATCAGTGTTTTACCTTCTAGTCTATAATTTGGTATATTTTTGTCGCGAACTCCACTTTCACTGACATCAAAATTGAACATGTAGGATGAATTCATATTTATTGATCTGAAATTAGTCAATTAAGGGTAAGTAAATATGCATTTCACTGCCCTCAAAATGAAATATTTTTCCTGATATTTTTTCTATATTATGTTGAAATATGTTTGAGTCGAAAGTGAGTTCTTTTGAAGAGAATATGCCTACAAAAGTGGAGTTTATTGGAAAAGTAAAAAACGGTTCTAAATCAATAACTAGATGGCTATGGAAAATTTTATTTTTAATTTTAATAATTTTAAAAATTGTATATTTGTTGTTATCTTTTAAAAAGTAAAAACAATCGCGATCTTTTGCATCAAAATACCAGTGATTATATGAAATTTTGCCATTGGACCCATTTAACTTCAGAACTTTCTCTTTGAGGACGACTTTTAAGATACTACGTTCTACAATTCGGTTGTATAATTGCTCTAAGGGGTAGTTAGACTTTTTCACCATTTTTTTTAGTTGCCCTAAGAAGCTTTCAAACGGAAAGGAGCTTATAGTCTGTAGAGAACCATATTGAAGAGTTTGCTGGCTTAAATGTGTTAAGCAATGAAAATTAAATGTGAGCATTGAAAACATATAAAAAGAAGGTACTTGACTTACAAAGTCATCTAGCAATCCAGATGCAAGAGAGTTTTGTGTTACACAATACTCTTTGTGGAGAAGAAGTCGAACTCCTAAGCTAAGTAATAGAAAATGATTGTACAAACCTGTACCTAAAACGTCCTTTAATACCATAGGTCCTGTATACAAAACTCTGTGGCCTTAAATCTTTCGAGATCATCTAGAGATCTAACTCCTCTATTAAATTCCCTAGGTAAAAACTTTTTTAAACACGTTAGTTTATTATTTAGTGAAGTTATGGAGTGCCTACTTAAAGAAAATGTGTGACCTTTTGCTTTCGTTAAAGCTACAAGCACCGATTTTACGACTCCAAGGCAAACAACGTGCATATAATCTAAGGGAAACTGATTTACCATATCAATTGGCAAATCTTCAAGAATTAGTTTGCCTTGTATATTGTGGTGCTCTGGTTGAACACGGTTTCGAAAGCTATCATTAGTTCGTTGTAAGTTAAGTGATTTTCTAAAAATTAGTCGTCTATTAAAACTTTCGCCCTTCTGAATGCAAAGGTTGCAAGAATAAAATCCGGAGTGATGTTTCACACCTAAAATAAAAGCGCGGGCTGGCGCATCGCAAATAAATGCTCTGATTGATATTTGGAACATCCTTTCTTGAAATACCATGCCCTCCGTAACTAATTCTCCTAATTCGCAGACGAATTGTTCCAAATAAACATTGGGATTACGAGGCTTTGAATTACCTACATATATTCCAGCTACTAATACTGGCTTTGTACCATTGACGTTAATCAAACTGGGCCATGCTTGTTTCTGTGTACTCTTATACAACGGAAGGCCATCTACATTAACATTTAAACTGATAGTTGAAGATGGATAATAAAAATTCATGAGGAAATCTGTTAAGGCATCTTTTACGCCATAATTTACATACTCGCCTGGCTCTACACTAGGTTTTACAATAGTGCGTGGTGTACTTTTTAAAGTACGTGCATCTTGTGGCAAGCCAGGAATTTTTTCACCCAAGAGCAAAAGCAGTTCATTCCCTGCACTTTTGCTGACATTATTAGTGGATAACCACTGCGCTAAGCGAAAATTGAAATCGGTTGAACCGGAATACTCTGTAGATGGTAATTCATTGTTATCTGATAATAAAGAATGTAACTCATATTCGCTCTCTATTTTACTAATTTTATTATTTTCATTAACCAACTCAATTTCTACTGCAGCTCGTTTTACATGACGAGCCTCACAAATATATTTCCGACTTTTTCTTTTGTAAGGCATTTTCACGTTACTATTAAATATAACAATTCAAATTGTATACTTACTTTTTACACCAATTAAATAAACTCCGGAAAGGACACAGAAAATTATTAACAACAAAAAAGCGTATCTAGTTTTTAAAAACTATTTTTTATTTATTCAGCTGTCACACATTCCAGTTTGGCAAATAAAACAAAACTATTTTTTTACAATAGTACAAGTAGAAAATTATTGCACTCTCATTTCTATTACAATATTCACGCTGCAATGCTCGCGTGCGAGGGTTTTACGATCACAAAAGTTTTCCAATCGTTCTTTGCTCAGATGCGAGCTCGTTTACGGACATCTCGCTAAAGGCTCATGCACCCGCATTTCTATCACAATATTTACGCTGCAATGCTCTTATGCGAGAGTTCTACGATCAAAGAAGTTTCACAATCGTCCTTTGCTCACATGCGAGCTCGTTTCGGGTATTTTTCGACACTCTCGCTAAAGGCTCGTGCGCTGGTCCGCTGGGTCTCTATATGTACATTTGTATGTATGTATATGTATTAAATGTCAGGAATGCGGTAAATATTCAAATTGTATAAATAAAAAACAGGCATAAATGTATGTACATATTATGTATGTGTATATACTAAATGTATGTATGTATTTATTATTATTATTTAGTGACTGGTATGAATAGGTGCGTTCGTTTAAAATCTCCAACAGAAACCAACCAACTGCCAAATTCCGGCGAAATGTCATCTGTTCGCTCACAAGAGAGAAATATCCAAAATAGTACGCGAACAGAAAATTTGCAGAAACTTGCAAGTTAGACGAACAGCTGATATAATTTTTGTTTACATTCAAAAGTGTAAAATTTAAAACGTTCGAAAACTCATTACAAAGTGGTATCCTGGCACAGTTTATTGATTAAACAAATAACTACTTACTTCTTACAAGTTTAATTAGTCGCATTTTGTAATTTTTAACTTCCAAACCATCAAATTCAATTTTGTGATTTGCGTAAATGCCAACCAGCTGTTTTTGATCAGCTGTTTTCCTGTTGGCAAATTGCTGTTGGCAAAAATTTTTCCAACAGAAACCAGCAGCTTCCCCTCAAAATGAAATGTCACTTTGCTCTCTCAATTTCCCCTACTTTGCAAGTTTTTCGCGTACGCGAACGCAAAAACTTGTAAGTTTTGGTTAAACATGAACAATTAACAGCTACGCGAACGAACCTAATATCAGTATTAAAAGTATGTTTGAGCGTTGGCGGCCAAAGCAATCGTACAATTTCCACGTAGAATTTTAAGCTCTTCAGGCAGTGCGTATATCCGCAGCTGCTTTTCAATAATTAGGTCCTGTAAATGAGTCAACTCTTGTGGCATATATGCCGCACCATCCAGGTATAGCGCTCTACTCCACGGGCATTCATCTAAAGCAGTCAAAATACAACTTTTTCTCGTCTCAAAATCAGTGCACTGGTCAGATAAAAATCTGATATATAATCGCCAAAAGAGAGCATTCCTTAGCAATGTGCTTCTCATGTTTGATTGAGTCAGGTTATCATTTGACAAAGTTTTAAAAACGTGCAAAATACGATTACGTATGATTAATTCATTACATCGCTTATCCCATTCAATAACATTTATACCATCATTTGCAAATAACACATCGGTTTTCATCTTAAGGAACCGATAACGTGCTAAAACAATTAAAAATGTCACTAACAATATCGTCGGTTTGGCACGAAGAAATGCAGTTCTTATTCGAAACCAAGGCTCTGAGCTCAACATGCCACAATGTTGCAGGAGAAATAGGATGGACTTTGCTCATGCAATGACAATAAGTCGAGCCAGACTTGCACATCGCAAAATGCCTCCAATGTTTTTCGATTCAATTGACCCATTCGTGCATTATATTCATTTTCATCTAGAGGTAAAAATTAACCATAACTTTGATCACTGGAAGCTTTTGCCTTTTCTAGAAAATAGCGTTTACTAGACTTTTTGTTGGCATTTGAATAGCTCCCAAAATGTAGCCAAATGAATGCCTGTAACGAGGACATGCGGGTTTATGCTAGGTTAGGGCTGCCTGACGTCCCGGTTTTCCGGACATGTCCCGGTTTTAGACTATTTGTCCCGGTGTCCCTGTCCAACCTTAAAATTTCCCGGGTTTCGTTTAAGTGTCCCGGTTTTCGATTTGATTGCACAAATTTTGCATAAAAATGACTACACTGAGAGAAAAAACGCGTTGTAATATTAAGAAAAATTTTATGAATTTACTGGGGGAATAACGCATAGTAAACATGAATATTTTTTATTTGAGTATCGTTTTGAAATTTTCGTACTTAAAAACAATACTTTCATATCACGCACACGTGGTGTTGAATCAAGCTGAACATTTGAATGCACATTTACATGTCTGGCTGTCGCCGAGTGCAGGAAGATGCTTGCCACAATTTTCTAATTTCCAGAGCGCCGGGTTCAAATCCCATTACAGACAGCATGAAATTTAAATATATTTTTTTAACTTAATTATGAAAAAGCATCCGTTAAGCGCAAAGCGCATCATTTTAATATTGGCGTATTTCAATTGAATATTTCTATACTAAATACTAAAAATTGTATACTTGGGTTGGTGCTCTGTCATATGCGAATTTTTTTTTT